GAGAGGAAAACAGCTGTGTCCAGGTCAAAACAGATGAAATCTATGGCTGCAGAGTGTGGCTGAAAGCTATCTGCTGCATGCGTGGTGCCACAAGTTTCAAAAGGTGATTTTTGAAAAGGTGGTTCTTCTGGTTGCTGATGTGCCTTTTTTTTTTTCTTTTTGGGTGGAATGGGAGCCTGTGCCCAGGGGCCCGTGCTCCTTGGAGCTGGCTCAGATGCCAGTAAGTGATAAGAACCCCAGTCACTAAGGATGCAGCCATACCTGATCGGAAGAAAGCAGACGCCGGGAAGTTTGGGGATGAAGAAAGGCCAGCTGGGCCATGCGTGTTCTAACACAGCAGCCCCGGGAGTGAGGAACCCCGGCTACGAATGAACACGAGGGAAACCTGAGTCAACTCACGGCTTCCTCACTGACCCAGCAGAAAGAACACAAGACAGTTCCAGACGGCAGAAACCGTGGGCCGCCTGCGTTCCCAGGGCTGCAGAAACATACAGCTGCAAACTGGGTGGCTGCACACAAGAGAAACTCTTTCCTCCAGCTCTGGAGGCCACAGGTCTGGAACCAAGGTGTTGGCCAGGCTCGTTCCTTCCGGAGGCTCTCAGGGAGAATCTGTCCCATGCTTTGCTTTGCTTTTCTTTTTTGAGATAGGGCCTCCCTCTGTCACCCAGAGGGAGCGCAGTGGCATAATCATGGCTCACTGAAACCTCTACCTCCTGGGGCTCAAGCCAGCCTCCCTCCTCAGCCTCCCTCCTGAGTAGCTGGGACGACAGGTGTGTGCTATGATGCCTACTTCCTTTTGTGTAGAGCTGGGGTCTTGCCACGTCCTCCAGGCTGTGTTCTGTGCCCTTCTCCCAGCCTCCGGTGGCTGCACATGATCTTTGGTGCCCCTGGGTTTGTAGGAGCATCCTCAGCCTCTCTGCCTCTGTCTTCACGTCCCCTTTTCTGAGCGTCCTGTCTCCTTCTCCTTCTGTTCTCCTAGAAGGATGCTTGTCATGGATTTAGGGCCCCCCCAAACTAGGATGACCTCCTCTTGAGATTCTCATTATAAAACATCTGCAAGGACCCTTCTTCCCAATGAGGTTTCACTCACTGCTTCAGGTGGCTGTGTCTTGTGGGCAGCCACCGTTCAACCTACTGTGATAGCCACAGTGACCGAGAGAGCTGCTCCTGGGACAAAGCCTTCTCTCCCAGCCCCCACGGGATCCTCTGCTGTCAAGGGAATTTCCCAGCCACCCCTTGGGTTACCATAATTTTGGTTTTTTTGTTTGGTTTTTTGTTTTCCTGAGACAGAATCTTGCTCTGTCGCCCAGGCTGGAGTACAGTGGCACCGCCTCTGCTCACTACAACCTCTACCTCCCGGGTTCGGGCGCCTGCCACCACGCCTGACTAGTTTTTATATTTTTAGTAGAGACAGGGTTTCACCATGTTGGCCAGGCTGGTCTCAAACTCCTGACCTCAAGGATCCACCTGCCTGGCCTCCTAAAGTGCTGGAATTACAGGCGTGAGTCACTGCACCCAGCCGGGTAACTGTAATTTTGGATCCATGACAAAGCCATATGGACACTGGACCTTTCCCAAAGACAGGCCGAACCTGTCAGAACCATGTCCCTGTCTCGAGGGTCACTCGGCCCAAGTCCCTTCTCTCCGAGGTGGTTTCTAAAGTGGGAGACTGCAGCAGAGCATCTTGCCCACAGGCACCCTCAGGGAGGAAGGGAGCCAACAGGGAAGTGTGAGCCACGCACGGGGACCAGGGCTGCTCCTCCTTGCGTGTGTCCTCATCAGAAGCGCCGGTCGCCAGGGCCAGCACAGGGCTCTGCTGCTATGGGGCTTGGCAGACGTTTACCAGCCTTTGCTTGATGGGGAAGCGATGGAAGCTCATTATCCCCCAAAGCAACCTATTATGTCACGGGTTGGTTCTGATCATTAGAAAGCACTTATTTTGGTTGAGTCAAAACCAACCTGCCTGCAATGCTGCTCACCCACTGTCCCAGATTTGCCTTCAGGAACTCTAAGAAATGAAGGTCACCACCAGGCTCAGAAGCTGCCTCATGCCAGTCACCTGAGGGTGTGAATATATCTCCCCAGGGGTCCCGGGACACCAGCAGCAGGGCCAGATTGACCAAAGGAATTTCGATTTTTCCTTGAGCGTGGATAGCAACCATCACTGCATTTTTAAAAACTTAGCCCACGTCTCCCAGAATTAGATGTATAAAAGAAAAAAAAAATGTAAGCCCACGATACGCTAGGTGTTTTACGTATGTTATTTCTAATTCTTGCAACTGGCCTGGAAGGCATGCGTTAATATCATCCTTGCTTTCTACACGAGGGAATTCGTTCTGACTGAGGCCAGGAAAATGGACGCTGTGGGATTTGAACCCAGACCTGCCTGACCAGTCCTCACGTTGTCTTCTCCCCACGCTGCCTCCCTCATGTGCAAAGGAACAGTCTATTTTCTACGCCTGGGGGCCGGAAAGTGGGGAAAGAAGGAGTGTCCTCAAAGGAGGGTGAGGATAAAGCAGAAACTCCACTTTCATCTCTAAACTAAGCAATAATGCTTGATTTCCATTTCCCTGAACATACAGTTCAGTTACACAGTTTAAAAAAAATACAACGGGTTCTCGAGAAATGTCAAGTATTACATTTCAGCGGACGTGTACAGAACAATCAAAATGTTGGACATCCCCAAACAGATGCTAACCTTCACCAAAGTCTCTTCCAAAGGCTCGTCTCTGAGGTTTGAAAAGCTCGCGGACCTGGCCCGGCTGATTTTCCTAGTGTGTGAGCTTTGTGCCTCCAAAGTCTGGTTCACCCAGAGGAGAACATGTCATCATTAGGATTCCTTGCACATGTATGGACTGTTTTATGCTTTTTCTCTCCCACAAATTACTGCGTTTGATCCTCACTTCCGCCCTGTGAGGTGGGAGAGACTGATGTCCTCCTTGCTCTACATGTGAGGACATCAGGAGGTGCAGGATCCCTGGAGGAGGCCAGGATGGTAAGCAGGTGTCCTCTTTCCTCTGCCATCCTCCTCTCAGAAGTCCCACTGTTCCCTTTCCTTTTTTTTTTTTTTCCTCTTTTTCTCTCTCTCTTTT